AGAGTGTTACTTAAAGCGATTGTCATTCTATGAGTGTGCTATGTGGACTGCTTCCTATGTTGGACATTCATTCCTTTTTGTTCTGCCTATTATTATTACCAGGCACTTGATGTGTAGCATGTCATTAAGCATCTATGTAATGCTGTATTTGTGATGACAAATTCTTTCAATTTCTGTTTGTTGTGGAAGGCCTTTATTTCACCTTCATTCATAAATGAATGCTTTGAGGGTACAGTATTCTTTGTTGACAGTTATTTTCTATTAAGACTTAGACTATATCTTGGCATTTTCCTCTAGCCTATAGGGTTTCTGAAGAAAAGTCATCTTGAGTCTAATTGGAGATCCTCTGGAAATATTCTGGCATTTCTCTCATGCACATTTTAGAATCTTTTTTTTTATGTTTTACTGTAGAAAGTTTGACTATAATGTGTAGTGGTGAAGATCTTTTCTGGTCATGTCTATTAAGAGTTTTATATGGTTCCTCTATTTTCTTTCTCCAAATGAGGGACATTTTCTGTAATTATTTCCCTAAATATGCCTTATGTTCCATCTCTCTTCCCATTCCTTCAGGAATTCCTAAGATTGTATGTTGGTTCATTTGATAGTATCCCATAAATGTCTAATACTTTTTTTTAAGCTTTCTATCTTCTTCTTGTTTTTCTTTTCATTGTTTTTAGGTCTGTCTGTAAGATTTCCAAAGATTAGTCTTCTAGTTTGGATATTCTTTCTTCTGCCTCCCCAAGACTTCTGGTAAGGCTTTCCATCACATTTTTTATTTGATCTATTGGGTTGTTCATTTCTACTGTTTCATTTTGATTTTTCTTTAAAATCTTAATTTCCTGGGAAAAATTTTCATTCATGTCATATATTGATTTCTTTAGTTTGTGGTTTTGCCTCTGATTGCTTTTGAGTAACCCTATGACTAAGTTTTGAATTCCATTTCTGGCCTATCCTCCATCTCTTCATCTTCTCATTCTAATACTGAAATGTTGTGTTCTCTTTGGGGCTTATATTGTTTTCCTTGTTCTTTTTTCATGAAATTCTGCATTTGTTTTTAGGTATTGGTGTATTTGATGGTTGCTTTTTTCCTCTGATGGCTTTTATCTTTGAGCTATGCCTCTGTGGCTTGATGGATTATCTGTACTTTCAGTGAATACCAAGAGATGTGGGTGGGTGTGGCCAGTGAGCTCTGGTTAGTGCTCTAGGGTGGGGCAAGTATCTAGGGCAACTATACCCAAGTTGGGTATAGTTGATCTCTTGTAAACAGAAGTGGAGGGGGGGAATGGTCACCTCTGTTGGTGTGATCACCCCCTCACCTTCTCTTCCAAGATGAGTAATGTCTGGGTGTTATTCCAGAATATATTCTACAGCTATCTATTCCACCATATGAACCACACAAATGGTTTCTACAGCCCTCACTGTGAACACAGTTCCCAATGAAATGATTGCTTCATGTAACCAAACAGTATTGAATGTATGGAGCCACAACTAGTGATTGCCCAGAGACCCAGCTACACCCTGTAGCTTCTCATGTAACCACTGAGTCCCCATGGACTCATTATACAAGTTTCCCACATTCACTGGGTACAAAGGTTTCTCTCTGCCCTGCTGTACTTTCCAGTCAACAGAGACAGATGTTCCCCAAGATAGCTCTGCTTAGGCATCTTGATCTCGGGAGCCTTGGGCATGGTTGCCCACTCTCTTCCTACCTGCTGTGGATTGTTCTCTCTGCTAGAATCTCTGGTTCACATGCATACACAAGAGCCACTGGCCGAATGTTGTTCTCTCCCTGCCACTGCTGCCAGTAATGTGAAGAAGATGGCGTCCTCTCTCAGCCAGTTGCTATGTGCTCGTACAAAGTCTTCTGCAGCCCTGCCCAAACCCAAAATGGCACCCGCCCTTTCTCAGCTGGGAAATGGTTGATGTTGTGGGGAAGTGGATGAGATAAATGTGCCTCCTATACATCCATGGGGTCTGTGGGCAACCGCTAGCAACTGCTGGCCCCCAGAGTGCCAGTCCAGACTCTTGCCATGCTCTCCCTCTGGCTATAGCACTGTGGTTTGCTGCAGTCCGGTCTCACCTGCATCTCTAAGCTGCCGCCTGCTCCAGCTCTTATCTGCTATGGTTGTTTCCCTCAATGTTTTTTTTTTATGTTGTCTTATTTTTATTTTCTAATGAGAGAGACAGAGAATCTTCCAACCCCTGTTTCATTTTCCAAATGGATATAACAACCAGGACTAGACCAGGCCAAATCAGGGTCCAGGAATTCCATCTGTTTTTTCCATATTGGATCCAAGTACTTGAGCCTTCATCTGTTGACTCCCAGCTTCCACATTAGCAGGAAGTGGTCAGAATCAAAGACGTGACTGGAGCCGGTGCAGCAGCTCACTAGGCTAATCCTCCGCCTTGCGGCGCCGGCACACTGGGTTCTAGTCCTGGTCGGGGCACCAGATTCTGTCCCGGTTGCCTCTCTTCCAGGCCAGCTCTCTGCTGTGGCCAGGGAGTGCAGTGGAGGATGGCCCAGGTGCTTGGGCCCTGCACCCCATGGGAGACCAGGATAAGTACCTGGCTCCTGCCATCGGATCAGCGCGGTGTGCCGGCCACAGCGCGCTGGCCGCGGCAGCCATTGAAGGGTGAACCAACGGCAAAGGAAGACCTTACTCTCTCTCTCTCTCTCACTGTCCCCTCTGCCCGTGGGAAAAAAAAAAGACGTGACTGGATTCCAAGGTCTCTGGCATTAGATTTGGTTGTTCTAGCAGCAACTTAGCTACTGTCCCACAACCCCATCCTGATTATAATTTTAAAATAAAAATTTCTAGAAGTGCATTTAATGTATATACATATATACCTGCATTTTTGAAATATGTACATGTTTCTCTATGTATTTTTTTTATGATGTATATTTTTTATTTGAGAGAGTTACACACACACATTCACACACACACACACACAGAGAGAGAGAGAGAGAGAGAGAGATAGGTCTTCCATCCACTGGTTCACTCCCCAATTGGCTGCAGCTGAGCTCTGTCAATCCGAGGCCAGGAGCCCAAAGTTTCTTCTGGTTCTGCACGTGGGTGCAGGACCCAAAAGTTGGGCGATCTTTTGCTTTCACAGGCCATAGCAGAGAACTGGATCAGAAGTGGAACAGCTGGGACTTGAACTGGCACCCATATGAGATGCCGGCTCTGTAGGTGGCAAAGTTACTTGCTATGCAGCTGTGCTGGGTCCCATATTTTTCTAGATTAGGAAAGCTATTCTACATAGTCAGGGTTTGGAGATACACAGGTATACAATGTGTGTGAGGGATTATATTTATTTTCTATATTCCTGTAGATGTATGGTCTTAAAATATAGGGAGGATCTTTTACTTCTTTATTTAAATAAGATTTTATTTATTTATTTGAGAGGCAGAATTACAGAGAGAGAGAGTGAGATACAGAGAGAAGGTTTCCACCTGTTGGTTCACTCCCCAAATGGCTGAAGCAGCCAGAGCTGGGATGATCCGAAGCCTGGAGCTTGGAGCTTCTTCTGGATATCCCACGTGGGTGCAGGGTGCCAAGGACTTGGGCCTTCTTCTACTGCTTTCCCAGGCCACAGCAGAGAGCTGGATCAGAAGAGGAGCAGCTAAGACATGAACTGGCGCCCATATGGTATGCTGGTGCCACAGGCAGAGGCTTAGTCCACTCTGCCACAAAGCCAGCCCCCACTCTGCCCAGATTTATTTTGGCTGGAATGATATTAACAGAAATGGGACATGTTTTGGAGAGAGCATTTAAAGTAGTGAAGGGTGTTGTCACAGGAAGATATTCTAAACAATGATTGGAGACACAGACAATACCCTCTAGAAAAATCTGAGTGATCAGTGGGCGAGGCAACAGGAGTGGTGTAATTCCGCAGATTATTCAGTACTCATGTTTGAGGAGAGGCCACACACTGTATATATAAAAACGCATCTGGAAAAGGCTTACATTGTTTACATTGTATTAATCTATAGGTTGATGTTTCTGAGGGTTTCCACTCCTTTTTGTCAGTTCATGGAATAAGTAAAACGCATATCTATAACCCCAGGTAATCTGCTCTTCCTGAAGAAAGGATTTCAGAATGCATGTCAGATTTCTCATCACAATCTACTAGGTAAACTCTTCCCTTTGCTTACACACTAATACATTGTACTGACTGACGCCTTTCCCCACTTTAATCATTTACTCCTGTGTAGTCACTCCTGTGTACAGCCATGGTATATGTCCTGAGAATAGGAGTAGATTTTACGTAGTGTATACCTGACATAGTTAACAAAGGTTTCTCTTTTCTTCTAGTCCTTGTGGTTAACATAATCTATATAAGGAAATTTTGTCTTTTAGAGCTGAACCAAGGTGGTTGATTTGGCTGAAGGATTCAGTGGATATTTTGTAAAGTAGGGAGCTAAAAGGTGGAAGAATTTTACTTGTCAACTACTTAGTGGACTCAGAGCTTTTCCTGTTCAAGTAGGCTAATCCTGTTACTTAATGAACATTGAAAACCAGTAACCTCAAATTCTCTTTAAAAAAAAAGATTTATTTTTATTTATTTGAAAGAGTTAGAGCTCTTTCATCTGCTGATTCACTCCCCAAATGGCCACAACAGCTGGAGCTGGGACAATCTGAACCCAGGAGTCAGGATCTTCTTCTGGGTCTTCCACCTGTGTGTAGGGGCCCTAGGAATTGGACCATCCTCTGCAGCTTTCCCAGGCACATTAGCAAGGATTTGTATCAGCAGTGGAGCAGCTGGAACTTGAACCATTGCCTATGTGGGAGGCCAGCCAGGGCTTTAACCTGCTGTGCTACCATGCTGGCTCCCTCAAATTCTTTTAAAATGACTCAGTAGTGTATTGAGAAGATGAAGTGGAATTCTGGACCCTAGATTTTCATTATGTTTGCTTTCTGCTAATCTACATAACTTCTGATTGGAGACAAACTTGGAACTTGCTTCATGGCCTATTGTTGATTTGTGTATTTTCTCAAAGATATCCATCAGGATGAAAGAATCTGGTCGGTGGTTTAGTAGTTGAGTGTCTGACCACAAGAGGGCAGAGCGTCTCTGCAGACCCATGGTATAGGACAGGCTGTCTTTGGTTGACTTCTATAGGAGCAGGCTCAAGACAGAAGCAGACGCCTGTGCAGTTTGAAGACCGCTGTGCCTTGGAGCAAATGAGGAGACATCTGTGATAGACGGAGCTCTCCTGGCTGGATCTTGCAGGTCCCAATGGGCAGAACTATGAGGACACATGCAGGACCTTTCTTCCTGTTCCTGTGGCTGCAGCTGCACTGTGAGTTGGGAGCTTTTGGGGAAGAGGGAGCTTAGTAAATGTTCATTAGAAGTCTAAAGGAGATGTTGACCTCTTCCAGATTGTCTGAATTACTGTAGAAAAACAATGCAAATTCCGTGGAGTGATACCTTGACGATGCATCTGACTTCTCCTTTGGCACAGGTGTGAGTGGAGGAGAGACGGTGGAGCAGAGTCCTTCTTTCTTGAGTGTCCAGGAGGGAGACGGCTGTGTTATCAACTGCACTTACACAGACAGTGCCTTCAACTACTTCTATTGGTATAAGCAAGTACCTGGAGCAGGCCTCCAGTTTCTTATAAATATTTTCTCAAGTATGGATAAGAAAGAAGAGCAAAGGCTCACCGTCCTCATGAGCAAGAAGGACCAGCGTCTCTCCCTGCACATTGCAGCTGCCCGTCCTGCAGACTCAGCCACCTACTTCTGTGCTGCAGGAGCACAGTGCTCCCCAGGCACCTGCAGCCTCTACTCAAACCCGCAACAAAGGCTAACAACACGCTCAGCTTTTTTTGTCCTTTGAGTTAAGAATTTTTCTAGAATTATTTTTTATTTGTCTTATTTCAAAAACATCCTTCTAGAAAGTCAACTTCAAAATAACCCAGTAAGTGTTAGGATTTTTGATTGAGCTCCCATTGAGTGTTAATGATCATTGGTTAGAGTTCAAGGCTCTAGGCTTGACCTCATAGTACCATTCAGATTTCTCCCCTCCAAGGGCATCTTGGTAGCAATATCAGAGAATTCCTTTAGTGACTGAAATATCCTTTTCTTTCCATAGCAGGATGTATTGATTATAAAATTATTAACTGCATGGTATGGGAAATACAGTAAATAGAAGGTAGAAAATAAAGATATCTTGTAATCCTGTCATAAAAATACATCTGGGTGAACATTTAACATTCCTTCCTCATTGAACTTTTATTAAAAATTAAGATAACACAGGCTGGTATTTTGACCTACTTTCATTTAATTTATATCCCAGTCTGAGGATATCTCATTTGTTGAATTTTGTAAAAACTTATTTTTCCTGACTCAATAAGTGACTATTTTATTTTCATTTTGCGTAATAGTTTCAGGGTATCCATGCTTTATCTTATATCAAAATTTTATTTCTTTTAAAGGATGACTGAATTGCATTGTACAGATACCCAGCATTTTGTTTATCCAATCATCAGGTGGTGGATGATCTGTGCTGTGATATGATTAGTTTCATTCGCAAATAGAGATAATGTAGTAAATGTACAAATCCAGTAGATTGAACACCTATAAAGTTGGGCTTAAAGTTTGCTGCACAGATGAAGAAATAAATATTTCTAAAGGTATGCAATGCAATTTGTCATGGAGAATAAATTCAAGCAATCTTTTGGACACAATGTTTACTATAGTGAATGGCAGTTAATTGTATAATTTGAAATGTCTTAGAGAGTTGGTTTAAGTGTTCTTACCACAATACGTGATAACCATGTAGATGATTTATATGATGGTGAATTCACTTTGGACATTTCACAATGTGCTCATAGTTTGAAGCTTTATTTTGTATAGCACGAACAGATACATTTTTCAATGTATAAAATATATAAAAGCAATTAAAAATAAAAAATAAGTTTTACTTTTGAATTCTTTGGATATTTAGAGATACTTAGAGTGCTAGCCTTAGGGATACGATATGAGCCAGCACTTCCCCTTTTCCAAAGGAAAATTGTTCCCTGCTGTCTCAGAGATACATGTGCACTCTAATCACTGCTTTCCTGGTGTTTTGCTCTTGGCCGCCTTAGCAGTTCATTCATCTCTATGACCTTGTAGACAAGAATGTCATCCATATTTCAGGATAAAATATTATTTGACTTGGGATGTTAAGTCTGGGTTTATGGTAGATATTTCAGTTAATTATTACAGAGAGTAAATATTGTTATTAAGACCATGGCTATGAATGCACGCTGCCAATTTCAGAATACTATTTCATACTTATTCACTTCAGCCATAGAGGCAGTGCACCTAACTTTCTGTGCTTCAGTTTTTTCCTTTGTAAAACGGGAATAAAAAGTGCTCTTCAAAACTGAAAGCTAGTATTACTATTTTTCTTTTAAGAAGTTGCCACTGATGCTCTTTCTGGGTTTTCTGTGTTAAGGATGTAATGCTTTTGAGTTTTTAAAAAATATTTACTTGTTTATTTATTTGAAAGGCAGGGTTAGAAAGAGAGAGAGAGAGAGAGAGAGAGAGAGAGAGAGACAGAGAATCTTCTATCCATTGGTATACTTCCCAAATGGCCACACAGGCCTGGGTAGGGCCAGGCTGAAGCCAGGAGCCAGGAGCTTCTTCCAGGTCTCCCATGTGAGTGCAGGGGCCTAGGCAGTTGGGCTGTCTTCTGCTGCTTTCCCAGGGACATTAGTACGGAGCTGAAATGGAAGTGGAGCAGCTGGGATGTGAACTGGCACTCATGTTGGTTGCCAGTGTCACAGGTGTCAGCTTAACGCACTGTACCACAACGTGGGCCCCCAATGCTTTTGATTTTTGTTACTAGGTCTTCATGTGTCTGATAACAGCAGGGTTTTGAAAATGATCCTCTTTTTTCCTTCACACTATTCGTAGGCACTGATTAATGAGGCATTTTCCTATTTTCTTAATTAATTTTTCTGACAGTGGCAATGGAAATGTTAGACATATTGAATATTTTTGAATTTCAGGGTTGCAATGTTTTGTTCATGAAGATTTGTTGGGTTGTTACAGCAATGGACCTAAATGAATAAAACTCACCAATGACAATAGACTTTTCTTGACCGTGGAGCCTCTGAGATTGAAGGGAAGGGTAGTAATAGCACTCTCAGCTCTAGTCTGCCCTGGGTTACGCCCACAGGGGAACCTCTATGTATGCATGTGTGTGAGTGTGCATGTGTGTGTGTGTGTTTGCAAATAGGTGTGGTTCTCTCTGTGTCTCTGTCTCAGTTTGCATGCCCTATGAATGTGAAGAAAAGGAGAATGGAAGTGAGTTAATTAACCTTGGTTAGCATGTGATGTGAACTGGGAATATTGCCAGGTGCATTTCACAGATCACCTCTTTTGAGTCCCAAGGCATCTTTAAAAACATGGGATCATTCAAAGATTTTAGTTGCACTTGAATCCATTTTTAGATAATTTAAACTGAGAGGTAAACTAAATTATTAGCAGAATTTAGATATGGTTACTGATAGTGATGAAGTAGCTTATAAGGTTTAACTATGTTTGCACAAAATCAAGACAAATGTATTTTGAAAATGCCATTTGAAGGCTCTGGAGATTCACAAGAAAGAACCCTAAACTAGGGGTCGGGAGCTTGGACAGAAGTGCACTGAGTCAGATCCCTTTTAGTGCAGGGCACACGGGCAGTGAAACTCCAGCAGGAAGCACAAGACTTTCAGGGCTTAGGAGTCACAATTTGGAGTTTGGTCTTCCAGAGTAGTTAGGACTGAGAGAGCAGATTCAGGACATAACTAGCCCACGGAGCTAGTAGTCTGATGTCTATGTGTTACCCCTCCTTGGTTCATTCCTGATCTGTGTAAGTCAGCATAAGATGCCCGGAAGGAAGGTGGAAGATGACATCTGGAAAGCTAGAAGAGAAACAGATTTTAGCAGGTGCCCTTCATTAGATAGACTTTGGAAATCAATTGTTCCCAATTGTTAGGGGTTTGGTTCACAGGTTGGACTTTCTAATGAAATCCTGATAGTACCATATGTGGGGCAGGGATTTTTTTGGTTCAGTGGTTAAGATGTTTCTTGTGATGACTGCATCCCCTATCAGTCTGCTCCTGATTCCAGCTGCCTGGTGATGTGCACCCTAGAAGGCATCAGGTGCTGGCTGCAGTAATTGGGTTTCTATCACCAACTTCAGAGATTTGGATTGAGTTCCTGGCTCACGGCATCATCTTGGATCAGCCCTGGCTGTAGTAGGCATTTAGGAGTGAACCAGTCAAAGACATGGAATCAGCTTAGGGCTCCATCAGTGATTGAATGGGTGAAGACAATGTGGTATAGGTAGACAATGGAAGGTTATACATTCATAAAAGGAATGAAGTTTTGCCAGTTGTAGCAGAATTGATGGAACCAGAGGAAATTATGTTATATGAAATATGCCAGACGCAGAAAGAAATTCTCCATGCTCCCTGATATGTGATGGCAAAAAAAAAGTGTTCAATTAAAACATGTAGATCAGTGATTATTAGAGGCTAGGAAGTTGAGAGAGGATATGAAGGAGATAGCAGTAGGTTAGCCAACAGGTACCGAAATACAGTCAGACAGAAATAGTAATGGCTAGTGTTCTGAAGCACAGCAGGGTGACTATAGTTCACCATAGTATATATTTCATGAAGAAGTGGAGGAGATGACTGTGAAGGCTACAAACAAAATAAGTGAAGAGATATAAATGTAACTGCTCTGTTTTCTCAGTACCTGCTGTGTACTGTGTTGAGAAATCATACTGTCTCTTATAAATATGAGCTAATGCTGGCAAAATATTTAAAAGATCATGGGTCAAAGCAAGAGCAGGAGAGATGCAACTGGAATATATCAGAATAATCTTTTATGGGGATTATTATCCATGAAGGATGGAAGAATTATAATTCTGAAATGAAAATTTTAATATATGCATTTAATGTATATACATTTACATATATTTTGAAGTATGTGCATATATTTCTATATTAAGAATATGATTCTGCAGGATCAGTCTTCTGATACAAAAGGTATGCAATGTAGATGAAGAAGTAGAATAAATATCTTCAGTCCTGGAAACACATGGGTTTAAATCCTAGGGAGGGTATTTTGCTTCTAATGTTGAGTCAGACTAGATTCCCTTGGGAGTAGATTTCTCATGGTCACATTCTCATGTCTTTTCCCAGATTTATTTCTGCTGAAATGGAAGAGAAAGAGCCAAGATATTAACATACATGAGATATGGTTTGGAGAGGGAATTTAAGAGTGAAGAATGGCCTCCTAGGTGGATATTCTGAACAATGATTTGAGACAAACACTATAAAATTGAGGAAAATGTTTTTGGGTCTGTATTCTGAGTTGGCTATAGTCAAGGCAACAGGAGTAGGGGAGGTGACACTACTACAACTTATTCAGTAGTCACATTGAGGAAAAGCCACTCACTTTGATATTACAAAATACAAACCCTTAGGGAAGAAACATTGTTTACATTGTATTTATCTATGGCTTGATGTTTCTTAAGAGCTTATGCACTTTTTTAGGTCACTATTTGGTGATACAAAAACCACATATCCATAATCCCAGATAATCTGTTCTTCCAGAAGAAAGGACTTCAGAGTACATGAAAGACCACAATCTGCAAGATAAGCTCTTCCCTTTGGTTACTTTAATACCATTTATTCATGGAAGTGTCCCCCTCTTTTCCTTTACTCCATAATTTAAGCATTTTAACGGAAGGAATGATCCTGTATTGACCTTGGCACTAGCAATTTCCTAGGAATGGTAAGATCAGGAATGTCACACACATGGAGGAGCGTGCACCTGACATACACTGCAAAGCTCTCTCTCCCACTATAGTCATGTGCTTCAACATCACCTGTAGAGTCTGTTTTTGTCTTTAGAGCTGAAGAAAGATGACTGATTTGGTTGAGTGAGTCTCTGGCCTATTTAAACAGTGAGGGAGGTATGAGTTGGAAGGATTTTATTTTCAATTACTTAGTGGACTCAATAGAATTTTCCTGATTTCAAATATGTGGTCCTGTTATTAAATAAACATGAAAAACCTGCCTCATCAAATCGACTTAAATATCTCAGTAGTGTGCCTAGAAGATGAAGTGGAATTCTGAACCTGACATTTATATTATGTTTGCTTTCTGTTAATCTGGATCACTTCTGATTGGAACTTACTTTACTTGACATAGTGCTATTCTTTTGTAGTTTTCCAGAGGCATATAATGATAATATCAGATCTGGCTCACATACAGAAATCTACCAACCACAGATGCTGGCGAGGATGTGGGGAAAAAGGGACACTAACCCACTGTTTGTGAGAATGCAAACTTGTAAAGCCACTATGGAAGCCAGTCTGAGATTCCTCAGAAACCTGAATATAACCCTACCATTCAACCCAGCCATACCACTCCTTGGAATTTACCCAAAGGAAATTAAATTGGCAAATAAAAGAGCCATCTACACCTCAATGTTTATTGCAGCTCAATTCACAATAGCTAAGACCTGGAATCAACCTAAATGCCCATCAACAGTAGACTGGATGAAGAAATTATGGGATATGTACTCTATAGAATACTATACAGAGGAAAAAAATGAAATCCGGTCATTTGCAACAAAATGGAGGAATCTGGAAAACATCATGCTGACTGAAATAAGCCAGTCCCAAAGGCACAAATATCATATGTTCTCCCTGATTGGTGACAACTAACTGAGCACCAAAAAGGAAACCTGTTGAAGTGAAATGGACACTATGAGAAATGGTGACTTGATCAGCCCTTGTCCTGACTGTTGATGAACAACTTAATACTTTATCCCTTTTAGTTTTTTTTTTGTTCTACTTAATACTATTGGTTGAACTCTTTAATTGACACACAATTATTCTTAGGCCTTTAAATTTAACTGAAAAATGATCTCTGTTAAATAAAAGGGTGGGAATAAGAGAGGGAGAAGATGTATAATTTGGGACAAGCTCAATTGGACTTGCTCCAAATGGTGGAGTTAGAATTGTGCCAGGGGATTCCAATTCAATCCCATCAAGGTGGCATGTACCAATGCCATCTCACCTGTCCAAGTGAACAATTTCAGTTCACAATTGATCATAATGATAGGTCTAAGAGTCAAAGGGATCACATAAACAAGACTAGTGTCTGCTAATACTAACTGATAGAATTCAAAAGGGAGAGAATGATCCAACAAGGGAAGTAGGATACACAGCAGTCTCATAGAATGGCAGATGTCCTAAACAGCACTCTGGCCTCAGAATCAGCCCTTAAGGCATTGGATCTGGCTGAAGAGCCCATGAGAGTATTATAGGCATGGAAAGCCAAGACACTCTAGCAAAATAAAAAAATACCTAAATGAAAGATCTCTGCAAGTAGGATCCCAGTGGAAAGAATGGGCCATTAAAGAAGGAGGTACCTTTCTCTGAAGGGAGGAGAGAACTTCCACCTTGTCTAAATAAGGTCGGAGTTGGCGAACTCAAAAGGCTTCCATAGCCTTGGCAACTCATGACAAGAGCCTAGGGAGATTACTGATGCCATAAACAAGAGTGTCAATTTGTTAAGTCAACAACAGGAGTCACTGTGCACGTACTCCTCATGTAGGATCTCTGTCCTTAATGTGTTGTTCAATGTGAATTAATGCTAAAACTAGTACTCAACAGTATTTTACACTTTATGTTTCTGTGTGGGTGTAAACTGATGAAATCTTTACTTAATATTGATCTCCTGTATATAAAGAGAATTGAAAATGAATCTTGATGTGGATGGAATGGGAGAGGGTGCCGGAGATGGGAGGGTTGCAGGTGGGAGGGAAGTTATGGGGGGTGGGGGAAAGGCCATTGTAATCCATAAGCTGTACTTTGGAAATTTAAATTTATTAAATAAAAGTGAAAAAAAGATCAGATTTGGTCACAGGGTTTAGCAGTTGGGATCTGACCACAAGAGGGCAGAATGTCTCTGTTAATGCACAACATGGGACAGGCTGTTTGGTTGACTTCTTAAAGCAGACTAAACACAGAAACAGATGCCTTTGTAGTGAGTTTAAGAAATCTCTGCTTTGGAGGAAAGGAAGACACAACTGACAGACGGAGCTCTCCTGGCTGGAGCTCGCAGGTCCCGATGGGCAGAACCATGAGGACGCTTGCAGGACCTTTCTTCCTGTTCCTGTGGCTGCAGCTGCACTGTGAGTTGGGAGCTTTGGGGAAGAGGGTGCTTAGTAAATGTTCATTAGAAGTCTGAGGAGGCTGGCCTCTTCCAGATTGCCTGAAATAATGTGAGGAAACAATGTTATCTCTAGGGAATATTGGCCTGATGATTTTTCTGACTTCTGTTTTGCAGGTGTTAGTAGAGGAGAGACGGTGGAGCAGAGTCCTTCTTTCTTGAGTGTCCAGGAGGGAGACGGCTGTGTTATCAACTGCACTTACACGGACAGTGCCTCCGACTACTTCTTTTGGTATAAGCAAGAACCTGGAGCAGGTCTCCAGTTCCTTATAAGTATTCTCTCCAATGCGGATAAGAAAGAAGAGCAAAGGCTCACCGTCCTCATGAGCAAGAAGGACCAACATCTCTCCCTGCACATCGCAGCTGCCCGTCCTGCAGACTCAGCCACCTACTTCTGTGCTGCAAGAGCACAGTGCTCCCCAGGCACCTGCAGCCTCTACTCAAACCCGCAGTGAGGGCTGAAGGCATCTCATCTGTTGTTGCTGTTGGCGATTGGGATTTTCTGTATTTTAAAAATGTATGGATGTTTTAAAACATGTTTCAAGAATTTCAGCTTCTAAATGACCAAATAAGCTTTAGAATATTTGAATGAATCTGTGTCAAAAGTTTGTGATTTGTAGTTAAATCATAAGGCTGTAGGGTTGACCTAACTGGTGCCCTATAGAATTCTCCCTCCCATGGACACCTGACATGATGGTCTGAGTATTCTCTTCCAGACAGAAAGTTCTCTGTCTTTTCATAATCCAATTTATTATCATTCAGAGTCTGAAATTATTAACGGCATGGTATGTTAAAACTGTCAATATAGGGTAGAAAGTTAAAATGTCTTGGAATACTGTCATACAAATAAATCATGGCTAGCATTTGGTATTTCTTTTTTGTTAAAATAGTATTACAAATCAAGATCACCAGACTAGTATTTTGAGTCATTGCCCACTGAATATGAAGTCCTAACCTGAGCATCTCACATTTGCTGAATCTTATAAATCTCAATGTTTACTGCTTTTATGTCACTATTTTATTTCTCCTGCATTCATTCTCTTTTTTTTTGGTGAAAGACTATATTTTTCTTCAGGTGTATGTAACATTTTACATAGACAACTTCTTAAATATGAGAAATTCTAAATTTTCACCTGCTCTAGGAATAATTTGCTTCAACAATTACATTGCTCTCTTCCTTCAGTTCTTTTTCCTTCGTTGAAGTGCAGAATTTTGACATGGGCCTCATCATCTTTCCATTTTTCTCATCACTTTGAAGAGAAATGTATGTTTCTAAAACAAAAGTGAAGGTTTCTTGTAAGTGTGATGATATTGATTTATTAAGCATTCTTCAGGGGCATACAGTGAAGACAGTGTTGTTCTGAAATCGTCTGCAAAGCCAGACACCAGGAAATGTGTTGCTGCAGCAGAGAGAGCAAGAGAGAGAGAGAGAGAGAGAGAGAGATAGATCTTCCATCAGCTGATTTACTCCCCAGATGGCTGCAACCACAGTGCAGGGCCAGGCCAAAGCCAGGAGGGAAGAGCTTCATCCGGGTCTCCCACATGGGTTGGAGGGGCCCAAGCACCTGGATCATCTTCCACTGCATTTCTCGGCCATTAGGAGAGAGTTTGATTGGAAGTGAAGCATCCAGGACAGGAGCTGGCGCTCATATGGGATGCTGGCTTTGCAGGCGACTGCTTTACCTGGTTTGCCACAATGCTAACCCCAGCTTGACAGGTTTTACAACAGTGAGCCAGACCTGGAAAGCTTAACAAAGATGAAAGACTAGAGCCTGTGAGATATGAGGGATGAGAGGATAATAGCACTCTTAAATCTAGTCCACACTGGGTTACTCCTGTAGTTGAATATTGTGTGCATGTGTGTGTTGTGTATGTGTGGTTCTCTATGTCTCTGTCTTAGTTTGCAAGGCTTATGAGATTAGCGGGCATGTGAGGGAAAAAAGAGAGAGGAAGAGAGAGAGTGAGTGAATTAACATGGGTTGACACTTTATGGGAACTGGGAATATTGCCAGGTACAAATCGTAGATTACCTCATTTAAGTCCCAAAATGCCTTTGTTAAGTATGGTAGTGTTCAAAGGTTTTGGCTGCAACCAACAAAACTGATTCTGGATAACTTATTGTGAAAAAATAACTCAGTTATCAGTAGATTTAGAATTGGCTACTATTAAGTCATGGATTATATTGGTTAATCCATAGTATCACAAAGTCAGGGAAAATACATTTAAAATGCCATTTGAAGACTCTGGAGAGCCAGCAGAAAGATGCACAGACTAGGTGGACGTGACACTTGGACCCAAACACGTAGGCCAGATCCACATGCCAGTGCTTGACATGTGGGACGTGGAGCTCAGTAGGAAGTAGATGACTTCCTGGGCCTAAAGTTTGGAGCCTGGTGCTTCTGCGATTCACAGAGTAAGGAGTCTTGAAGTCTTTAGACATTACGCTTGGTTTATTCCTAAACTGTGTACGTCAGCTCTAGACTCCTAGAGAACAGGTGGGAAACAATTGCTAGAAAGCTGATGGGGCTGGTGTTGTGGCGTAGTGGGCTAAGCCTACACCTGCAGTGCCGGCATCCTATATGGGTGCTGGTTCAAGTCCTGGCTGCTCCACTTCCAGTCCAGCTCTCTGTTATGGCCTGGGAAAGCAGTAGAAGATGGCCCTTGGGCCCCTGTACCCTTGTGGGGGACCTGGAAGAAGCTCCTGGATCCTGGCTTCAGATCGACGCAACTCAGGCCATTGCAGCCATATGGGGAGTGAACCAGTGAATGGAAGATCTCTCTCTCTCTCTCTCTCTCTCTCTCTCTCTCTCTCTCTCTGCCTCTCTGTAACTCTGCCTTTTATTGACAGGCAGAGATGGACAGTGAGAGAGAGAGAGAGACAGAGAGAAAGGTCTTCCTTCCATTGGTTCACCCCCGAAATGGCCGCTATGGCCGGGGTGCTGCGCTGATCCGAAGCCAGGATCCAGGTGCTTCCTCCTGGTCTCCCATGCGGGTGCAGGGCCCAAGCACTTGGGCCATTCTCCACTGCTTTCCTGGGCCACAGCAGAGAGCTGGACTGGAAGAGGAACAACCGGGACAGAACCCAGCACCCCAACCTGGAATAGAACCCAGAGTACTGGCGCCGCAGGTAGAGGATTAGCCTAGTGAGCCACAGCACTGGCCATGTAACTCTGCCTTTCAAATAAAGAAATAAATCTAAAAAAAAAAAGGCTGAAAGAGAAAATAAATTTTAGCAACTTCCCTGAACTAGATAACGTTTGGAATTCAAGCTCTGCCAGAAGTGACAACTTTGATTCACAACTTGGGCTTTCTAATGAAATGCTGGAGGGATCACATCTCTGGGGGGTTCTACTGATACAGCAGTTGAAAAGCCACTTGTGATGCTTGTATCCCATATTGGTGGGCCTGGGTTTATGCCCTGGATTTGCTCCCTATTCTAGCCTCCTGCTAATGTGTACCCCGTGAGGCTTCAGGGGATGTTCAAGTGCTTTGCTTCCTGCCACTGATGTGGGGGTCTTGAATTGAGTTCTGGGGTCCTGGTTTTGTCCTGGCTCAGCCATGGCTGTTGTGGGCTTTTGTGGGAGTGAATAAGGAGACAAAATCTCTCTCTGTGTCTCTGGTTTCTTTCTGCCAGAAAGACCCAAGATATTAAAACAAATGAGACATATTTGGAGAGAGATTTTAAAGGAGTGAAGGCTGTTATCATAGGTAGATAGTTCAAGCAATGATTGGAGACCAAATACAATCTAGGAAAAAGCTTTTGCATCTGGACTCTGAGTCGGCAGTGTCCAAAAAGCTGGAAGGGGTAATTCTATTATATATTATTCTGTAGTCATATATGAGGAGCAGTTACCAGCTTTGTTATTAGGAAATAGAAACACATCTGAAGACACGTATGTGTTTGCCTTATATCCATCTGCGGTCTGACGTTAGGTCAAAACCTGGCAATAATTAAACCACATATCAAGAGTCTCAGATAATCTGTTCTTCCAGAAAAAAAAAATGATTTTAGAGTCACATAAGATTTGTCATCACAATCCACAAGGTCAATTCTTCCCTTGAATGCCCTAATACTATTCACTCGCAGTAGCCCAGCCCCCCCCCCTTGTCTGCTTCACTCTATAATTTAGTCATTTTTACTAAAGGATCATTCCTATGGCACTGTCAATTTCCTGGGATAAGATGAAGAGCACACCCACACTTGGAGTTCCAGAGCTGCAGTAGCATGCATCTGACATACATACCCAGATTTTAGCTTTTACTACAGTCTTTGTGCTTAAGTATTACCTGTAGAAAGAGTTTTCCTTAGTAGAGCTGAACCAAGACGGTTGATTTGACTGAGGGATTCCCCAGCCAATTTAAGAAGTAGGTGTGAAATGAGGAGGAAGGATTTTACATTTTAACTACTTTGGAGACTCACTTGTAGTATTTTCTTGATTTCAAACAGGCTAACTCTGTTGTTGGATAAACCTGGAAAGAATGTAACTTCAAATTAATTTAAAATATCAATAGTGCCTGAGAAGAAGAGGTGGAATTCTGAACCATACATTTTTAGTATGTTTTATTAATTATTATTTTTCTATTATATTAATTGTTTTCCGATTGAGGACACATTTAGAAATTACTGTATTTGACCTGTTGCTAATTTGTGTAATCTCTTAAAGAGTTACACAATGATAAAATTGAATTTGATGCTCAAGTATAGCAGTTGGGGATTTGACCACAAGAGGGCAGAGCGTCTCTGCAGACTCATGGTATGGACAGAATCTTTTCCGTTGACTTCTAGAGAGCAGGCTCAAGACAGAAGCAGACGCCTGTGCAGTTTGAAGACCGCTGTGCCTTGGAGCAAAGGAGGAGACATCTGTGATAGACGGAGCTCTCCTGGTTGGAGCTCGCAGGTCCCGATGGGAAGACCCATGAGGACGCTTGCAGGACCTTTCTTCCTGTTCCTGTGGCTGCAGCTGCACTGTGAGTTGGGAGCTTTTGGGGAAGAGGGTGCTTAGTAAATGTTCATTAGTAGTCTGAAGGAGAGATTGGCCTCTTCCAGATTGCAGTTACTGTAGAAAAACAATGCAAATTCTGGGAGTCATGACGATGCATCTGACTTCTCCTTTGGCACAGGTGTGAGTGGAGGAGAGACGGTGGAGCAGAGTCCTTCTTTCCTGAGTGTCCAGGAGGGAGACGGCTGTGTTATCAACTGCACTTACACAGACAGTACCTCCGCCTCCTTCTATTGGTATAAGCAAGAACCTGGATCAGGTCTCCAGTTCCTTATAAATATTTTTGCAAGTATGGACATGAACGAAGATCAGAGATTCACTGTGTTCCTGAATAAGAAGGACAAACTTCTCTCCCTACACATTAGATCTGCTCATCCTGCAGACTCAGCCACCTACTTCTGTGCACAGGAGCACAGTGTGCCCCAGACACCTGCAGCCTCTACCCAAACCTGCAGTGAGGGCTGAAGACATTATCTGTTGTTGCTGTTTGCTATGAGGATATTCTGTAGTTTAATATAAGAACATTCTAAAATCACTCCAGTGTGAGTATCACAAAGTTGAATATTTGAGAAAAAAGTTGACTGGTTGTGAAATCACCAATGAATAAAAAATAAATTGTAGTGAACAAGTAAGTCAAGTACCTCAGCGACAATGCTGATCTTCTTGGAATTGTACAGATGAAATACATGAAATCTGTTCTCTGTATTGATAAAACATTTTTAAAAATGATGATGATGATGATAGGGAAAAACATTTGCCTGTTTTCTTTGTAATTTCTCATCTTGTAACTAGATGAACATACTGCACTGGCTACTTACATACTGTAAGTCAGCGGCATCACAAGGATGGATTTACACCCTTATTACTCTCTGTGTGGGATTCGATGAGTGCATCCCTTTGCAACTGATTTTAAAAACAGGAACTTACAGCTATTCATGCCAGGCATATGTTG